GTGCCTGAGAGAGGCTGGTGAGGTTTGGATTTTAGAAAGTGAGTTTGTATTTGGGGTGTGTCTAAGAGAAGTTCCTCAGTTTCTCAGAGGATGCAGATTGGTTTGCAGCAAAACGAACAAACAAATACCTTAAAATGCAGAGTTGTCTCTTTCAGCAGATCCTCCTCTGCATTCTCCTCCTCCCGTTGAGAATGGAACTTGCGGAACACACATTAACTTGTGGGCTTCTTGACTTAGAGGAGAAGGAATCTCCACCAGGAGAGAAGCAGGGGAGCTGTGGGAAGGCAAGTCACGCAGAGTCATCCTGGCAGTAAGAAGTGTGCCAGGAGGTGAACTGGTGGAGTGTGGCCTGCTTCTTCAAGGACTGCTTAAGAGCCACAAGCCCTCTGGAGAGTGTGGTGACATGTGCACATTCGGGGTATCATTCTGGAGTAAGCGAAGAAAGAAAACAGTAAAGCCAAGAAGAGGTGAATGTGGAATTCTGACAGCCCTCTGTTCTGCCCAAAGAGGAAAAGACTGATAACTGGGCAAGGGCAAGGTTGAGACCCAATAGGGATGCCAGCCTCCCTTGGGTGCTGTACTCACAACTCCTCTGTTGGGTGCCTGGCTTTAGGAACGCCAGCCACGTGCGCACAGAGGAGATGGAAGCAACAGCAGAGCCCTGTAAATGTTTACGGATTGAATTTTCAAATTGATAATTTTAAGCTCTCAGCGTGATACGAAATACCTCTTAAAGAGAGCAGGCTGTGTACTGGTAGGTGTGAGGACCTGGCTGTAATTTTTTTTTCTCCTCCTAGTTTGCATGTTTTCCCTCTCTAGTCTTTTAAACTGCTGGCACTAGCAGTAATAAATAGTGATAAAATCAAAATTGATTTTTACCAGTGGACAGTTTATGCCTAGAGAGATGGCTTAGACCTACATAACACAGAAGGGGGAAAATGAAGAACCTCCAGTGATCCATGAAAACCTAAACGCTTTCAAACAAATCCTAGGAACAGAATTGCTATCGAAAGATATCAGTGCCCAGCTTGCAGCTGTATTGAGTCAGATATAACTGAATGCGGTGAAAGCTCAGAGCTAAATAGCCCTTCAAATTAATTTGAAAACAAGCTCTGTATGTGCACGTGCGTGTGTGTGTGTGCGTGCATGTGTGTGTGTGTGGCGTGTGTGCCATATGTAAGTAGCTTGACAGTTTTCAAATGGTGCCTATATTTTTTTGCACACAGATCTTTGTGTTTGCAAACTTGGAATCCATGCCAAAATAAAGTGCCATTTGTCATTTTCAGCTCCTTCTCAAAAGAACTGGCCCATGTACAAATTTCTGGTTTATAGTTTGTGAAATCCTTGGTTTAAAATCAAAAACCAAGAGCCATGAGTGTTGGGTTTTTCAGTCACCTGTATACCTGGGTAACATCACCCACCAGACCTTCTCTGGTGTTCCCTTACTGGTGGTGGTGTCCCCACCTCTCCTGCAGAGCCCATCTAGCTTGCTGAAAGAGGGGAATCAAGTGGAACTTAGCAATGTACCCTGTCAGAGGAGACTTAAGTGTGGACCTGGGCCCAGTCTGCTCTGTTGAGAATGAGTGCCTTCAGAGATGAACAGACTGGGAATTGTGTTTGTGTAGTGTAGGTGGATGGGTGTCAAGTCTGATGAGGCCAGCCTTTGCTCTGGGAACCCAAGGGCAGCTCTGGGATCACATGTCCCCATGGAGTTTGGCTCCCTCAGGGTCCCTGGCCTGAATGGACTTAGAGAAGGCTTTTTCCCTCAGCTGCTTTGGTGGGACCCTTTCAGAGACAGTTGCTGTGTCCAGCACACACCAGTTCACCCATGGACAGTCCTCACCCACAGCTGATCCCAGGGAGGAAGGCTCTGTCTTGTACATGAGGAGGTGAAGGCTTCAGAAGGTTAAGCTGGGCATCTTTCAGAACTTCTGGTTTAGAACTGAACCAGCCCCTGCTCAGGCCTGCCCATGGATAGCTTCAACCCTGCATGTACCTGCTGGTGGGAACTGGGGAAGGAGCTCTGCACATCCACGTGTTTGGGTCTAGTCTATTTGTCCCAGCAGAGGCAAGGAGAAGCCACTCTAGTTCAGACCCCCTTCCTCCTCTTTTGGAACCTGAACATGCTCTGGGCAGTGAAGGGGTGTGCCTTTTCCATTTTCTTACTGCTTAGAGATCTCTGCCCAGCTCACCCAGGGGATGAATTTGGGGGCTTTCGAAAGGAAACTGCTAGTCTGTCTCTGCGAGCAGTGATGGGGATGCTCTATGTAGAGGCTTTACACAACTCACAAGTTACATGTGAGCAAGAGCAGTTCATTAAAATAGGCACTCTGGAAGTGCTGGGTGTGAACATAGGCATGTGGGCTACTGGTATTTCCAGCCCCTGCCTGAATTAGCGCTGTGGTTTCCAGGAAATCAGCAAAGGGAGCAGAGGTAGAAGATGGTGATAAGGAGATGAGTGGAGAGGGGCAGGCTGGGGGCCCTGGAGCGGGTCCACGGTGAGGTGCGGTGCCCTTCCTCTGGCCTTCGAATCCCATTAGCTCTGTGCTTGGTGCTCGAGGCTCAGCTGCCAGGAATACTGTGAGTTGGGGCTCATGAGTTCACCCATCCTTTGCCGAGGGGACCTAGACCTCCCTGATGGTGGTGGAGGTGCTTGTTGCCATATCTACGCACTTAAAAACAGAGGTTTTGTTTTAGTTTATTTGTATTATGGAGGTATTTTGAAAAATTAAAAAAGACACAAGCACACATAAACAGCTATGTGTTATCGTTAAAAGCGAAGCCAGGGGAAGCGGATGAGAGGTTGTCTCGAATATAATTACTTTAGATTTTTTTTTTCTTAATGGAATTAACTCATTAGAAAATGTCTGCATCAAATCCGTAGAAAAGGAAAAAGCTAGCAAAAAATTATAGCTATTATCCAACTTGCCATAAATATTTGCAATTATGATACCTTGGAATGTTGCCACAATATGGTTGCTCTGATTAAAAGATGTCAGTTGAATAAAACAGTGCTGTGGGAGCATCGCCCGCTGCTGCTAGATAAATGCTGATGTTTATTTTCAAACCAGGAAACATTGATCCTGTAACAATGCCCGTTACAGTTGCTTTATTGCAGCAGCGGGCTGATGTGGGTTCCATCATTTTGCTAATGGAGGTGGGTGCAGGATGGACGCTCACTCCCTCTTGCATTCTGATGAGCCTCAGGAGCGTGGCCCAGCTTCTGCAGGTGGAGCAGCAGCGGGCACGCAAAGCCACATCTGCTTACCTGTTTTCTATTTCCCTTCAGGAGACACCAGCTCAGGGAGACTGATCAGATCTCTTAACACAGTCTCATTAAGCCTGAGTGCTGACAAGAATGCAGAGCTGTTCTGAAGACGAGCGTCATCTTGCCCCTTGTCTTGCAGTACAGAAGGGCCTGGTTCCTTTCGTGAACAGGCATCCTGCGTGCCCCTCTTTATGTTGTCTTTTAGAAGTAAACTAAATTCAGCTGTGAACCCTTTAGGGTGGCATTCATTTAATTTTTTTCCCCATTGAATCTTTTAACTTAGATTCAAAGGTCAAAATTTATTGTCTGATACTGAGACTGTGTGTACCTTCTGTATGTTACATACTGCAGAGGTGCTGAGAAATTAGTTAATATGCTTTCAATTTTATATTTTTCATTCGTAAGCAGCCTAAGTATGGAGATTCAAGTTCATACATAGAGAAATGCAAAGTACATTTGGTCCTTATTCCTGTTAGGAGCGCCTACCTGCCTTCCTGCCTTCTATTCATTTATAAGCTGCTGTCATTCGGAACTTCCTATAAGAAACTCAAAATGATCTATTTAAATGTTCCCTTCATCTCTTCTCGCCTTTCAAATA